GACCTCATGGACTCAAGCAATCCTCGTACCCCAGCCACCCTGGTAGCTGGGACTAAAGGCATGACAGCACCACTGTGCTGATGATCGTGTTGTCTTAGGGGTGAAACGAGGTCACACATGTAAATGGCTATTATTGTTATTAGCACTTTGTAATTAGAACCTGTTAATATTCCTCACTAGTCCCTGTGGCTAGGGTTTGGAGAAAGAATCCAGAGGTTGTAATCTGCCCCGGCAGAGGCCATCGGACCACCTCCCGCCCACTTGTGGTTTGGGGGAAGGGTGTGGCCGGTGGGAGGAGGGCGGGGACTCTGGTTATCTGGAGGGTGGGACTTCTGATTTGAATGGGATCACCACCTGCAGCCGGAAGTTAGTGGTGAGGTTTACCTGTCCCCTCTGGACTCCTGAGTTAGGGTGTATCAGGTGGACCTAATGAGGGCAAAGCTGAGGGACTGGGAGACAGGCAGCCTGGGTGAGCCCTGCCTCTGTTAGACTGATGACCTGAACCGGAGGCTGGACCGGAACTCGAGCCTGGAGTCACAAGCCTCTGTGTTCTCACCTGAAAACAGGGGGAATCCTGGGAATGACTTTCTAGGGTCGTTGTGATGTTTGCATTAAGTAATTCAGGTACCGTAGCTTGGATGATGCAGTGAATGTGTATTTATCTCAAGGATTCTCTCAATCATGCTATGATGTGGGCACACAGTCACTAAGCCACCAGGCAGGGAAAGGGGCAGTAAAAGAACATCTTAGAATGCAGAGTTGAACTTCAGTGCTGAGCAGTGAGGACGCCCCTTAGAGAGGGGAAGTGAGTTGCCTAAGGTCACACAGCTCGTGGTCTTGGGGTCAGAGCCGCTTTCCCCTTCTCTGCGCGGCCACACTCGGGATCCCACACTCCCCGCTGCCCCTAGCTTGGGACCTTTCCATGGCTGTGCCTGGAGGGGCGCATTTTAGGAAGGTGGCTTTGCTGGCTCTGGAACACTGGGCGCAGGAGGTTGGGGAGAGCCAACCCTGTATCCCTACCGGCTGGGCGAGGGGCGTCTCCTGCCGGCGGCTCGCGCTGCTTCCCGGTCGCCCCGCGGCCTCCCTCCGCCTCCTTGTCTGCCCCGCGCCGCGGGTGTTCAGTTTCAGCGCGGGCATGAGCGCAGGCAGCGCCGGGCTCCCCGCGGAAGGAAGGCAGCGAGCAGGGGCCCCGTGTCCTCGGTCGGGGCCTGGCAGCGCCGTGGAGGGGGCTCGGCTCGCGTCGCCGCCGGGAGCGGGGCCGGGCGTGCGTCGAGCCTCCGCCGCCGAAGGGGACGCCCGGGAGCCGAAGGGGAAGCCCGGGAGCCGCCGCCGCCGCCGCCGCCGCCGCCGAGGGTAACCGCGGGCCGCGCTGCCCGGGCACCCCCTCCTTTGTGGCGCTGCGCGGGGCGGGTGTGGGTGGCCTCCCGCCCGCGGGCTGCACGCCTGGCGTCGCGGAGCCGCTCTTTGTGTCTCCCGGGGTAGGGTGCGAGTGTACGCCGCGCGCTTGGCACCTCCCGCGCCCCTCGGGTGCCCGCGTTCCAGGGCCCCTCCCGGCCCTTTCCCCACGGGGACGCCGCCAGAGCCTCAGGGGGAGTTACGCCAAGTTGGAGGGAAAAGGGTGGGGCGGGGCCGCCCCGCCTCCGCAGCCCCCAGGCAGCGCCCCAAAGTTGGTGCTGCAGGTGCAGCGACCCTCCTGCCGCCCTCCTCCCCGCCTGCCCGGCCTTGGCGGTGGGAACCTCATAAGGACTCAGTTTGGGGGCTCCCGATGATCTGCCGCAAACTTGGAGGGTGCCTTGCTGCACAGAAGCCACCTGAGCTGGGGGCGGCCCGGGGCGCGGCTTTCTGGGCAGGGGGCGGCCGAGGCCCAGGCGGAAGCCGGGCTAGCCGGCTGGCCGCGGGGAGAGCTTAGCGGCCGTGGCACCGAGCCGGGGTGCCCATGTGACTGCGGTGTGCTTGGGAAGAGGAAGCTGCAGAGGTCAGTGCAAAGGCGTCACGCCAGAGCGAGCGCGCGAGCGAGCCAGGGGGGAGCCCCTGAACCAGCTCAGGGCGGGCGCGGGGGTGGCCTGCCCGCTGCAGGGGCCAGACAAAGCCACGCTGTCCCAGACACCCTGGCTCTTCTAAAGCGTGCGATCCCAGGGTGGGAGGGGCGGCCAGGCTTGGCAGCCAGGAAATGAGGGACACTGGGAGGAGGGGCCTCTCCGGGACAGGCAGGTCTGGAAGAGGCGGCCCCAGCCCCCGGAGGGGCCTCTGGATGCTAGAGGGTGACCCAGAGGGCAGATCAGACGCAGACTCAACTTGGAGAACTTTCCCTGCACACTGCAGCCAGCTTGCAGGGATTCTCGTTTTCTGCACGTGCTGGGGAGGTCGGGGATGGGGGGGGAACTCGAGGATGGCAGGGTGGGGGTGACCTGGTTAGCCAGGCAACCCTGCGGCCCACAGCCCAAGAAGCGAGCTCCTGTCTTCTCCTCTCTGCTGTGGGTACCCGCGGGCATCCAGCTGCCAACAGGAGAAGCACGTTCTCCGAGCTCCACCCCGAACATACTTAGATTGTTTTCCCTAGACTGTGTTCAGCTGAGGCCTGGAGGGGGTGGAAACCAAGGTTAGATTAAAAAAAGAAAAAAAAATCCCGTAGTCGAAGAGATGGTTTTAGGGAAATGAGGACTAATATTTTGAAGTGGTGCTTAGAGAGAAGAGGCCAGTGTGGTCCGTGGGGGTGGGGTGGGTGAGGGCTTCAGGACCCCCCCTTTCCTTGGAGAGAAGAGGATCACCCAGGCCTTCAGGCCGGGACCCCACTGGGCCCAGCCGGCCTGCAGGTGAGGACGGTGTGGAGCCAGAGTCGGGACTGTTACCGCCCCAGTGCCAGCTCCGCAGCCCGCGCCTGTCTTCGTGACAGCCTGCGTCCTGTGCTGTCAACTACACCCCTCCGATGGGGTTGCTAGGCAGCGGGGCTCTGATGTACTGGAAGGCCTTCTGATTTGTCAGCCTCCTGCAGACACATGGTTAAGGCTCCTTCCAGCCTATCGGGAGGAGGGACGCGGGCACGCCGCCTGCATACTGCTGAGCCCCCGGTCCACCTGAAAGCGAGGTGCAAAAGGCAGCCAGAGGGAGGGAGGGGGCACCTGGAGCCCTCTGCCTTCTAACCAGCTCAGCCCCACTCCCCGCATTATCTCCACTCGGGCCAGCACGCTGCTGGCTCCTCCTTGTCCGTCCCCGCCCCATTCCTCCCCTCTTCCCCAAACCATGGAAAAGCAAAGTGCAGCGGGGAAAAGAGGTCAGTGGGGTAAGCATGTGTTGCGGGCTCTGGAGATGCCAAGGTGCATGGGCGTGAGCGGTGGGGAGGCTGCCCATCCATGCCACCTGGGCTGTTGTGGGAAGGGGCTAGTGGTCGGGAGGGGTCCCTGGTACCGTCATCTGCCAGGCCTGGACTTGGAAGCCTGCTCTGTGCCCTCTCCTCCTTAAGCTCTGCCCCACTCCTGCAAGAGCAGCAGTTGAGGGAGGAGGGAAACCCTGGGTCTTCCTGCAAGGAAGGGTGGGCTCTGCAGCCCTCCATAGCGCTGAGAAGGAGTGGCTGCTGGCCGGTTCCTGCCTCCCCTGGATGCACTCCTTCGCCCCAGCCTCCAAGGTCCAAGTTCTCCCTCCTCCTGTCTTTCTGTGAGTGGCCACCACCCCCAATTTAATTTCTCTTCAGTTCGTTGCTTGTTTATAACAGCCTTACTGAGACAGAGTTCACAGACCATTCACCCATGTCAAAATGTACAATTCAACGGATTTTAGTATGTTCACAGAGTTTTGCAACCACAGTTAATTTTGGAACATTTTCATCGCCCCAGAATGAAACCCTGTAACCATTAGCAGTCGCTCCCCATTCTCCTGCCCCCTAGCCCCTGACATCCACTAATCTTTCTATCTCTATAAATTTGTCTACTCTGGACGTTTTCTATACGTGGGACCAGATACCGAGTGGTCTTTTGTGGCTGGACCCCCCCCCTTACTTTTCTAGCTGCATTGTTTACTTGGCAGTCAATTGCAGTTTTGTTTGTTTGTTTGTTTTTGATCATTTAACTTTTCCTGTGCGTTGCTCCTTTAGTAGTGTCACATCCTTAGGGGCAGGGGTCTTCTGCATTCTTACGCATTTCTCTCAAGGCCAAAGCTGGCTCAGGGCTGGACCTCTGGTTGAATGAATGAGATGAATGGGACTGGTAATTGGCAAGCCGTGCAGGTGGTTTATAACTGAATTCCAGGGGGCCCAGCTGCTGCAAAGGGGGCTGGCAGCTTGGGAGAACTGCAGGTATCCAAGCTGTGAAGGAACAGAGAAGAAGCCTCTATCTGGGGGCGGGCAGAGGCGGGGCAAGTGTAGAAACCCACCCTGTGTAGGCTGGGCATGGTGGCTCATGCCTATAATCCCAGCCCTTTGGGAGATTGAGGCAGGTGGATCACAAGGTCAGGAGATCTAGACCATCCTGGCTAACACGGCGAAACCCCGTCTCTACTAAAAATACAAAAAAAAAATTAGCCAGGTGTGGTGGACATGCCTCTGTAGTCTCAGCTACTCGGGAGGCTGAGGCAGGAGAATCGCTTGAACCCAGGAGGCGGAGGTTACCGTGAGCTGAGATCACGCCACCACACTCCAGCCTGGGCGACAGAGCAAGACTCCATCTCAAAAAAAAAAAAAAAAAAAAAAAAAAAAAAAACCCAAAACCACCCTGTATTAGGAACCTGTGAGGTGGCCTGTGGGTTGCTACTTCTCACAAGAATCTGAAAACAAGTATATGCTCCCAGCCTCTGGGGTAGGTAGGCGACCAAGGAGATTCGTCACCTGATCACAGGGGCTTCCCCCATGGGGAACTCCGATTACACTTGGATTTTTAAAGAAAAAAAATTCCCCAGTGTCAGCATTTATAAAAGGGTGCCAATTCGGGACCTCTGAAGTCCTTTGCTTACCTCTTGTGATGTAGTTCTTGACTTGTGTGTTATTCTATCTCCCTGCCTCTGTGCTGCAGGTACTGTCTGATGAGTGTGAAAGGTTGTTTCACTGACTTCCACATCGACTTTGGAGGCACTTCCGTTTGGTACCACGTTTTCCGAGGTGGGAAGGTGAGTTTCAGTTGCCTTTAAATTTTTGTGCATCTCCAGCTGTTTGTGTGGGGAGGGGCTCACTCACCGTTCTGCCTCCTCCCACCTCCCTCCTCCAGCCAGCCCTGCCCCAGGAATTCTTTCAGGATCGCTCTTTTGAAAATTTTTTATTTTTAAGTAATAGGATCTTGCTCTGTCATCCAGGCTGGAGTGCAGTGGCGAGATCACAGCCCACTGTAGCCTCTACCTCCGGGCTCAGGCAGTCCTCCCACCTCAGCCTCCCGAGTAGCTGGGACCATAGACATGCGCCACCAGGCCCTGCTAATTTTTGTATTTTTTTGTAGAGACAGAGTTTCAGCATGTTGCTCAGGGTGTTCTCAAACTCCCAGCTCAAGTGATCCTCTTATTTTGGCCTCCCAAAGTGCTAGGATTATAGGCATGGGCCTTTGCTCCTGGCCCAGGGTCCCTTCTTCCTGTAGAACCACGTCTTCCTTCTAAAGGGAAAGGTCAAGTTCATGACTTTTACATCACATCTAGTCACCCATGCAGGCCTGCCCCGCTCACCCAGTCCAGCATTCTAAGCCCCTTGGGTCAGATTTGAAGCTGGGGTTTGGCATGAGAACATCCAGCATTCACTGTCCCTGGCTGCCATCTCTGCCCTGGCTGCCATCTCAGCTCCAGCCCTGGGACCTTTTCAAAGTCTAGTTGCCAGTGCCACCTGCCTCCAAGAACATTTCGCCCCAGGGACAGAATGAGAAGGGTGCTCCCTCTGCCTGCTTTTGTTTCGTGTCCACGTGGGGACGTAGGTGTCCCTGGAGGTGGGTGCTTCTTGAAAACATGCCTGTGCCACCTGCTTGGCTGGGTCTGCATGTGCGTTTGTTTTAACTGAACGTGTTGGAAGAAATTCTGGGAGGAAGTCAACCCACTTGATTCCAGATGTTTTTCCTCCTTCTCCAAAGTGTGCACAAGCCGGGTTTATTTACTGGGCCATTTTATCACACAGTGTAGGAAATTCCCTTCCTCTCCTGCCCCCACCTCCCAGAAGAGCCTGTGGTTCAGGAGAAAGCATGTCCCACCCAGTCCAGGAAGTACTCCCATCCCGGGATTTCAGCTGGCACGGAGGTTCCCTGAAGGTGGGCACAGCCCTTCCCACCTCCCCAGAGGCTCTTTGGGCCTGGCCTTGCAGAAGGTCCAAAGGGAGGGATCCTCCCATGTCCCCCGGTGTCTCACCCCCTCCCCTAACCCCAGGCAGAGGGGCTCTCTCTCTGGGCCGTCTTGGGCCTGGGTCTCCAGCTGACTGCCTGCATTTCCTCCCAAGATTTTTTGGCTGATTCCTCCAACGCTGCACAATTTGGCGCTGTATGAGGAGTGGGTGCTGTCAGGCAAACAGAGTGACATCTTTCTGGGAGACCGTGTGGAACGATGCCAAAGAATTGAGCTGAAACAGGGCTACACATTTTTCATCCCTTCCGGTAGGTTCCGAGGGACTCTCTCTGGGCTCTCCAAGTCCCTGCGGCCTGGGCCAGGGTTTTCGGCCTCCTGAGGGTTGCTCTGGGGCTGGTGGGTTTGATGGGCCATTGGCAGTCCCTGAGGAGAGCCTGCCTTGGGCTGGAGGGAGAAGCCTCGCAGTTTTCTGCACACAGCCCACCTGCGGCTGGAATTCTCTCTCCCTCGGAGATAGCCTTGGGCTGTCTCAGGGGAGACCTGAATACCTCCTCAGGACTTCCTATGGAGATTTGTGTTTTGGGTAATGGGGTTGGGTTTGCCCCGAGGCAGGGTCTGGGGAAGGACTGTGCATGGTCTCCAGTGGAATTCTGACTTGGCCACTTACAGACTGTGACTTCGCTTCTTTGTGCCTCAGTGTTCCCATCTGTCAAATGGGATTAAGATTTCCCCAGGGTGGTCATGAGGACTGAGTGAGCTAACACCTCCTTACCTCCAGTTCATTGGTGATGGACTAAGGGCTTTTGGCCGGTTCCAGGCTCAGTCACTAGTGGATGTGGCTGATGACCTAGGAGTCAGGGAATTACCTCTTAGTCTGCCTTAATGGAAGCATTGTACCTAGAATGACGGAGGTGATAGTCCTGCTGTGTAGAGGAGAGTCAGGCCACACGTAGGAGTGTTTTTTGTTTGTTTGTTTGTTTTTTGAGACAGTCTTGCTCTGTCACCCAGGCTGGAGTGCAGTGGCATGATCTCGGCTCACTGGAACCTCCACCTCCTGGGTTCAAGCAATTCTCATGTCTCAACCTCCCAAGTAGCTGGGATTACAGACATGCACCAATATGCCTAGCTAATTTTTGTAGTTTTAGAAAAGATGGGGTTTTGCCATGTTGTCCAGGCTGATCTCAAACTCCTGGCCTCAAGGGGTTATCCCTCCTGGGCCTCCCGCAGTGCTAGGATTACAGGATGAGCCACCACGCCTAGCCTGTAGGTTTTGTTCCTGTTAGTCATTGTACTTTGGAGGGCAAAGCAACCTTAAGGGGGGTGTAGGTGGGTCTAGGAACCACATCAGGTGAGATGAGTTTGAAGGAGGAAGTGGGCTGCTTTACTTGAGGAAGTGAAGGCATATGGTAACTGCAGTCAGCTGGGCGAAGGATTGTCTCCTGGAAGGAGTATAGCCGAGTGGTGTTGGAATAACTTGCTTTGTTAAGTAGTGAGCTCCCTGTCACTGAAGGCATGCAAGTACAAGGTAGATACAGATGAGTCAAGGCACTTGCAGAGAATCTACAACTGGGTGGAAGCTTAGACTGGAGGATAGGCGTATCCCCTGAGGCCACTAGGATGTTTCTTCGAGTTGCGCTGGAAGCTGGCCTTAGGTCTGGACATCAAGCATTAGTGGTGGTTGTAGTAGCAGTTTCCGCTATGGGGACGGGGCCTGCACACCTGGGTGCTTCTAGAATGCTGGGCAGAAACAGGAGACTTCCCTATTAGGGAGATTTGGGGTTTGGAAGTGTCAGGGTTTAGTGCGGGGGTGACTTTGTTACCATGGCCCCAGGTCTGTTCTCAGAGCTGCTTGGCTCAGGGAAGGGACAGACTCCTGCTTGGGATGGAAGGGATTATTGCACTTGGTGGTCAGCATTTATGGGGGATACCCTGGCAGATGTGAAGTAGAGACTGGGGAAGGAGGTGGTATCCTCCTTCTAATGGAGCTGTGCTCAGCCCACTCTGTAGGTGTTGCTGGATTGGGCCCTGGGTTCAAAGGATGACTGGAAGGCTCTTGGCCTTGCTGCTGACTCTCTTTGTGACATTAGCTGGTTTCTTCCTCTCTCTGCGCCTCAGCTCTCCCATCTCTACCAGAGGGTGGGGTGGAGCTGAACTCTGGGACCCTCAAGTTCCCTCCCAGCCCCATCTTCTGAGCCTAACAGTGCTTAGAACTGGGAGGTGGCTCATCACTTTCCCCCTGTGTGGGATGGGGTGGGTGTTGATGTTGGTGACTTAAGCAAGTTGGGGGAGGTCTTGAGGAGCAGCAGCAGCAGGGGTGTGGGTGTGGCTGTCTACTGAAGCCAGGAAGAGGAAACGTGCATTTGAGATGCGCAAGCAGGAGTCCAGTTAGATCTGGGTGAAGACTTCTGGCCCTAAGGGTCATGCTTTGAGATACCAGGATTCTTCCCGTCGCCCTGCCCCTGCTCCCCCCCACCTCCGCCCTGGGAGTTTTGGGAAGTAGAAAAGGGACAGTTGAAATTGCTGGCTTCTGAGATGCAGGGGTGAGGCAGGGTTGGAGGGTACAACCTAGTTCAGTGGTTCCCAGCGATTGATTTCATGGACTAGTGAAAAAACAAAAAACAAAAAACACTTAGGAACAGATACAAAGTTACCAACTTGTAATTTTACTAAAGATGGGCAGTTAAGATCAACAGACCCTGTGGTCTATTGATACTAAAAATGTTACAAGTATAAAATGTCAGAACAAAGGATAGCACTTTAAATTTGATAGTTTTTCTCATTCTGTTTCCAACCAGTGAAAACTAAAGGATTCCCCCACCCATCCCCTAAAAAAAAAAAAAAAAAGAAAAGAAAAGAAAACTGAAGGACCAGAGACTCAGGATCCACTGACCTACATGAGTGTTTTTTTGTTTTTTTTTTTTAAGATGGAGTCTCGCTCTGTTCCCAGGTGCTGGAGTGCAGTGGCGCAATCTCGGCTCACTACAAACTCCCACCTCCCAGGTTCAAGCGATTCTCTTGCCTCAGCCTCCCGAGTAGCTGAGATTGCAGGTGCCTGCCACCATGCCTGGCTAATTTTTGTATTTTTAGTAGCTATGGGGTTTTGTCATGTTGTCCAGGCTGGTCTTGAACTCCTGGGCTCAAATAAGCTGCCCGCCTGGGCCTCCCAAAATGCTGAGATTACAGGCATGAGCCACTGTGCCCAGCCTCTAGATGAGTATTTTAGGTGCTCCCCGGGGCCTGAGGATTCTTTCCAGCATCCACACTGTCTGAGCCACGTACAAACACACATCTGAGATTCATGGTACTTGACTTGCGGCTTTGGGGAGAGGGTCTTCGGAAACCCAGGAAGGGTTTACGGCTCCCTGGATGGGAGTTTTTCCATACTGAAGTGGAGAATCAAATTCTGGTGTTTCCCGCCTCTGCCCTGAGTTCTTATCACCACAGTGTGACCTTAGGCACGTCTCCTCTTGCCACACTGGCCTCACATACTCATCTAGGGGCCAGCGCAGTAGCTCACACCTGTAATCCCAGCATTTTGGGAGACCCAAGCGGGCAGATCACTTCAGCCGCAGCTCAGGGAGTCTTCAGTTCTCTGCAAGCTCACAGGATGTTGATGGTTTAGGAGGACTTTAACCATGAAGGAATTCTGGATTTTGTCAAATGCCTTTTCTGTGTCTGTTGAGATGATCATGTGATTTTTAATTTTAATTCTATTTATGTGGTGTGTCCCATTTATTGACATGTGTCTGTTAAACCATCCCTGCGTGCCTGGTATACAACCCACTTGGTCATGGAGGGTTTATCTTGTTGATACACTGTTGGATTCAGTTAGCTAGTATTTTGTTGAGGTTTTTTTACGTCTGTGTTCATCAGGGATATTGGTCTGTAGTTTTCCTTTTTTTGTTATGTCCTTTCCTGGTTTTGGTATAAGGGTGACTGGCTTCATAGAATGATTCAGGGAGGACTCTCTCTTTCCCTCTTTTTTGGAATAGTGTCAACAGAATCGGTACCAGGTCATCTTTATTTTTTAATTAAGTAATTATTATTATTATTTTTTGAAGCTGAATTTTACTCTTGTTGCCCAGGCTGGAGTGCAGTGGCACAATCTCGGCTCACTGCAACCTCCGCCTCCCAGGTTCAAGCGATCCTCCAGCCTCAGCCTCCCAAGTTACTGGGATTTCAGGCATGCACCATCACGCCTGACTAATTTTTGTATTTTTAGTAGAGACACGGTTTCACCATGTTGCTCAGGCTGATCTCAAACTCCTGACCTCAAGAGATCCACCCACTTGAATATCTGATAGAATTCAGCTATGAATCCAAGGAAGACCTTATTTATTTATTTATTTATTTATTTTTGAGACAGAGTCTCACCTTGTCGGCTGGAGTGCAGTGGGCATGATCTCAACTCACTGCAATCTCTGCCTCCTGGGTTCAAGTAATTCTTGTGCCTCAGCCTCCTGAGTAGCTGGGATTACAAGTGTATGCTACCACGCCTGGCTAATTTTTTTATTTTTAGTGGAGACAGGGTTTCTCCACGTTGGCCAAGTGCAAATTCCTGGCCTCAAGTGATCCTCCTGCCTCAACCTCACAAAGTGCTAGGATTACAGCCATGAGCCACAACATCCGGCCTCCAAGGAGGACTTTATTATTTATTTATATATTTATTTTGAGATGCAGTCTCACTGTGTTACCCAGGCTCGAGTGCAATGGCACCATCTTGGCTCACTGCAACCTCCACCTCCCGGGTTCAAGCAATTCTCCTGCCTCAGTCTCCCCAATAGCTGAGATTACAGGTGTATATCACTACACCTGGCTAATTTTTGTATTTTTAGTAGATACGCGGTTTCACCATGTTGGCCAGGCTGGTCTCGAACTTCTGACCTCAGGAGATGCAACTGCCTCAGCCTCCCAAAGTACTGGGGTTATAGGCGTGAGCCACCACACCTGGCTGACCAAGGAAGACTTTAAATGGCACTATGTTTTGTCTGAGATCAAGGAGCTGGGTCCTGGCTGTGCTTCAGGGTTGGTGATTCTTTAAACCTTATCCCTAGATAATCTAGGAGAGCTGCCTGAAAGAGGAAGACCATTTAAGATGACTGAGGAATAGGATGATCTGGAGAAAGGGGCTTGGGTTTGCCCCTTTCGAAGGTGGCCATACCTTGATGAGGCAAAGGAGGTGAGAATACAGCGTCAGGGTCAGGTCATCAAGGCCAGGGTCAGGCATGCCTAGGGGGTCGCCAGGTATTAGCCTTATAATGAGCAGTAAAGAAAGCTGGAAGTGGAAGTCACCCCCGGGGAATAGGAAATTGGGAACTTTAAGTGCCTGGGGTGAACCAGGTGATGTCTTTTTCCTCCAGCTCGGTCTGGGCAATGGCACCATCCTGGCCACATTTGTGGGCTTGGCCTCCCCACTCTGCCTGTACCAGCCTAGGTGAGCTATAGTTCACAGTTCTAAGCAATGAACATTTAAAATTTTTATTTTATTTTATTGAGTCAGGATCTCACTCTGTTGCTCAGGCTGGAGTAGCATAGCCTGATCCAACCAATGTTTCATGTACCTTATTTATCTTCTCTACAGGCATATGTGGAGAATTTAATATTCTCCACATTTTTTTAGAGACAGGGGTTTCACCTTGTTGGCCAGGCTGGTCTTGAATTCCTGACCTCAGGTGATCCGCCCGCCTCAGTCTCCCAAAGTGCTGGGATTACAGGCGTGAGCCACCGTGTCCGGCGTATTCTTCATGTTAAAAAAATTTTTTTTTGCCAGGCGTGGCGGCTCACATCTGTAATCCCAGCACTTTGGGAGGCTGAGGTGGGTGGATCACGAGGTCAAGAGAGTGAGAGCATCCTGGCCAACAGGATGAAACCCCATCTCTACTAAAAATACAAAAATTAGCCAGGTGTGGTGGCGCGTGCCTGTAATCCCAGCTACTCAGCTGGCTGAGGCAGAATTGCTTGAACCCAGGAGGCAGAGGTTGCAGTGAGCTGAGATGGTGCCACTGCACTCCAGCCTGGTGACACAGTAAGATTCTGTCTCAAAAAAACAACAACCAAAGAAATATCTCCATTTTTGTAACAGGGGGTGGTGTGAAATAATTGGCCCCCAGTCCCAACTATGAGATCCTCGAGGGGAGAGGCCATCCTTACTTCATCTCAGCGGTTCCTGATCCTGGCCCAGCGCAGGGAGTTCACTGATGCCGGTGAAGGAGGCCAGGATCCGGTTGGGTCGTGGGTGTCTGTGAGGTCGTGTCGACTTCTGAGACCTCTGGGTTTATTCCTGCTGAAGCTGCGGAGGAGGAGGCAGATGTGGGTGGGGCCTTTGGATCCCAAGTCCTGAGCGTCTTGGTTGTGGGTAAGACTCCACATGCCCCGCTGCCCTTCTTGGCCCCTCTCAGGTCCCAGAGAATGTGCTGCTTTGCGGGTCACTGGCTTCCCATCCATGACTGCCTCTGTCCCTGGTCGCTTGGCCTGAATAGCCTCTGTTTATTGCCTTCATATTGTCGATGACTGTGACTGGGAAGCAGGAGGCAGACGCCAGCATCCCCAGCCCAGGCAGCAGCCTGGGGACACCGGCTCTCATGCTTCCTGGGCTGTTGAGAGGCCATTGGAGGGTGGGTATGGATGGGGCCCATGAAGGCTGCTTTTTCCATGCCTCCTTCTTCCCGAGGGAGGCCTGTGGGTAATGAAGCAGGTATGAGCAGGAGAGGGACATTGTGGCGGCTAACCCAGCGGTGGCCGCCTGACCCACCCTTCAGGCCCTGGTTGGGAAGAGGAGGGGGTAGAAGCTTCTAGAATCCCTCGAGTGTCTGGGTGTGCCAATCCCCTGCCCCCTCCTTGCAGCAGCAGCTCTATTCTGTGTTCCTCTTTGCTCACGCGTCAGGACTAGTCAGATTTATTTAGGTGTGTTGGCCTCTGCACTTGCTGGGAGAACAGAGAGAATACAGGGCTGGTAAAGACGGATGTACATGAGCACCGTCCTCTACCAGAGCCCTTGTGATCCACTGAGACGACCACAGATACTAACACTAATTGCTCGTGTCGATTCAGGACTTGCTCACCACGTTCCCCAGTAGGGAGGGAGTGGAGAGGACAGTCTTAAACGCTGGCCCCTGGTCTTGGGATTTCTGCAGGGAGGGAGGTGGGCTTGTGGGGCTGTGTAACATACAACTGCCTATGCATCGCGTGACCCTGGTGGTCCCGGGTCCCAATCTTAGGAAGTTTTGCCAGGATAACAGGCACGGTGACAATAGCAACATTCGATAACATGCTTCCACTTGGTAGAAACGTGGAAATGTTGAGGTCAGCCTGTAGGCAGCAGAGGCGGGAGACTGGAGGGGATGTGGAGACGGAGGCGTGTTCAGAGCGGCAGCCATGCCCCTGTGCAGAGGAGGGTGGAGGCGGTGCGGAGGGAAAGCTGGGGAGCTCGACGGCCTCTTGCAACCGCACACCTGGTCAGCAGAGCAGCTGCCTCTGATGGTACCGGGGGAGCCAAGCATGGAATGAGGTTCCCTGAAGCAAAGCCCTTGTGCCTGTACCCAGCAGCATTGGGCTCCCGGCGACACGCTTTCCCTTGCTGTCCGCTGAGGACAGCCAGCTCTGTTCCACGAATTGCCTGGTGGGGAGGGCCAGTGCTAAGTGGCCATTGCAGATGCCAGCGGTGGCCTCGCAGCCTCTGCACTTGTCTTCCCAAGCGGGAGTGTTGTTTCCAGCAGCCGCCTGTGACTCAGGGCTGGTGTGTTTCACTGGGGGAAGAGACTGAAACCGCTTGGCCTTGGGGGGGCAGGGGCAGTGGCTGTAATTTTCCTTAGAGCAAAAACAGTAAAGTGCATGTCCAGGAGAGGAGGGGACGGTGGCTTCCAGGGCTAGACGCTGCAGGGTGCAGGGTCTTGGGGTACCCTTGCCTCTGCTACACCCTTCCCCCTGCCGACCCTCCTCTGTCCTTCCCTGTGAGTCACTCTGCCTCTGTCCGCCCTTGTCCTTATTTCTCTCTGCATTTCTCTTTTTGTCTCCCCTCCGTTTCCCTGCCTGTCCCCTGGGACTCGGCAGGCCTGTGCAGAGCCTTTGATGCCGCGGCAGCTGTGCAGCCTGGTGGCTAAAAACAGAGCTACTGTCGCTTGTCAGCTGTGACTTGTTCAGCAAGTGGCTTCCCCCCTTGTGCCCTCAGTTTCAGCATCTGTGAATTGGGGTTGATTCTCCTCCTGCCTGTCCCCTAGCCCCACGCTGTGCAACCTGGCAGCCGGGAGCTACACACAAGTTCCCTGAGTACTTTCGGTCTGGCCATGTGAATTGCAGTGCGATAGCTGTGTGTCCCAATGAGTGAGGTGCTTTCTCCTCAGCCCTCATGGGCCACACGGAGCCCGACTTCCTGGGCTCAAAATCCTAAGTGACTTCACTTTCTGTGCCTCAGTTTCCTCATCTGTAAAATTTTTTTGTTGTTGTTTTTGGCTCTATCCCCCAGGCTGTGAGTGCAGTGGCGCGATCTAGGCTCACTGCAACCTCCGCCTCCCAAGTTCAAGTGATTCTTATGCCTCAGCCTCTCAAGTAGCTGGGATTACGGGTACATGCCACCACACCTGGCTAATTTTTGTATTTTTGGTACAGACGAGGTTTCACCATATTGGCCACGCTGTTCTCGAATTCCTGACCTCAGGTGATCCACCCGCTTCGACCTCCCAAAGTGCTGGGATTACAGGTGTGAACCACTGCGCCCGGCTTATTTAATTTTTTTTAGAGACGAGGTCTTAATGTATTGCCCAGGCTGATCTCAGACTCCTGAGCTCAAGCGATCTTCCCGCCTCAGCCTCCCAAAGTGCCAGGATCGCAGGGGTGTACCACCACGCCCGGCCCTGCCTCTATGTCCCTTGTGATGGTGACTGTGCCTGGCTCCAGGCTGGGAGCCCGGGGAAATGAAAAGCTGCAGCCCCCAGCTGTGAGAAGCCGCAGGAGAGACTTGCCAGCAGCCGGCAGCCCTCGGGGCAGAGTGGAGGCAGAGCTGAGGGGGCATGCATGTGGAATGGGGCTGGGCAGAATTTGATGACAAGTCCAGTGAAGATGGACTTGGCTCTTGCAGCTCTGGCAGGACGTCACTCCTTCATCATGCCATCCTTTGTGAGCCCTCTGGGAAGGTGAGGAAAGGCTCTGGAACATGTGCCACCTGGGGGACGAGGCTCCCGCATGGAGATGGGGAAATGGGCCTGCCCCTCTGCTGGCCATTGTAGCCATGTCCCCAGAAGAAGCTTTTGTTATGATGGTCCTGAAGAAGTGGGGGCTGGTCTGCAGCTTCTTAGCTCCTGACTTAAGCCAAGTGGTGGCCACTCGGGGCTGTAGGTCTGAGTCCTCTTGGTGGCCCAGGCCTGGGCATTCTGCAGGAAGCATCGCTCCAGGCCCTGGCTGCTCTTCTCTGCCCCCTGCACCCTCCTGCACACTCACTCTCCCTCCCTGCAGCCTCATGAGGGGGGGAGCCCACAGGGGCCAGCGGCTCATCCTCTCCTTGCCCTTCCCACCCCAGGTTGGATCCATGCCGTCTACACCCCTGTAGACTCATTGGTCTTCGGCGGAAACATCCTGCATAGCTTTAACGTGCCCATGCAGCTGCGGATCTACGAGATTGAGGACAGAACACGGGTAAGGAGGGTTGCTTCTCTCTGAGTGTGCACGCCCAGCCCCTGAGCTCTGCAGGTGCTCAGGGTATGGGACAGGTCATTCTGGAATCCGCAGTTCCCCTCTCCCTCCTGCTTCCTGCCTCGAGCTGGCCTCAGTCTTGGTTCCACAGGGTGGGGGCAGGGGGATGCCCGTAAGAGCCCCACCCGGAGGCCCTGGAGTTTCTGTTCACCCCCAGGCTGGGGGCAGCCAAAACCCCCTTGTGGAAGAGGAAGTATCTCTGAGAAAGCACCGTGAGATTTCAGGGACCCTGCCTTTTTCTCCTTCTCACGTGGAGAAAGGGGTGCGAGGGGTTGGGGATTTGGTCGCTATTGTTTGGAGGATGGGTGTGGACCCGGGAAGAGCCCGGCCTGGTCCGAGGGCAGGTCTTGGCCATTTGTTCTCCCAGGGACCCCAGATCTGGCTGGTGAGAGGCCCCGAGGAAGCCAGTGTCTGAGTTCCCTTGGATGCTGTCTCTGCTGTCTCTGCTGGGGATGTCCCTAGTTCACTGGGGTTGAGGCTTTTCTCTGCCCTTGTTGGGGACAGTGCTAGTTTCTCAGACATCAAGTTTCCCTCACTCACCCCATGACCCAGGACCAGGGCCGGAAGCTCAGGTAACTGACGTGTGTCCTTTGCTCCATAAGTGTCCCTGAAAAGGACAAGTGGCCTGGACTTGCTGTCCTTTTCCCCATACTAGGACTTGACCATGTGTCCCCAGGCATGTGAGATAGTCCCAAACTGGGTCAAAAACTGAAGACTTGGGGCTGGGCATGGTGGCTTATACCTGTAATCCCAGCACTTTGGGAGGCTGAGGTGGGTGGATCCCTTGAGGTCAGGAGTTCGAGACCAGCCTGGCCAACATGGTGAAACCCTGTTTTCTACCAAAAATACAAAAAAAGTTAGCCAGGTGTGGTTGTGCATGCCTGTAGTCCCAGCTACTTGAGAGGCTGTGGCGGGAGGATGGTTTGAGCCCAGGAGGCGGAGTTTGCAGTGAGCTGAGATCGCATCACTGCATTACATCCTGGGCAACAGAGCCAGACCTGTCTCAAACTAAAAAAAACAAACAAACCAAAAAACAAAATCCCCAGAGGCTTGGGGCAAAAAAGGCCCATTTGTTGTTCCACTTGTTCTTGTTTTTCCAACACAGCTATTCAGATATTCATTTTATTTAAATTGAGATGTAATTCATATACCATAAAACTTACCATTCAGAACATTTTCATCGCCCCAAAAAGAAGCCTTGTACTCACAAGCAGTCACTTCCTGCGTCTCCCCACCTTTCCCCTGGCCAGCCCTAACCTACCTTCTGTGTCTGGATTTGTCTGTTCTGGACATTTGATATAAATGGAGTCCTTCAGCATGTGGCCTTTTGTGTCTGGTTTCTTTCACAGAGCATAATGATTTCCAGGTTCATCCACATAGTAGCATGTATCAGTGCTTCATTCATGTTCATGGCTGAATAATTTTCCATTCTGTGGCTGGACCACACCATTTCTTCTTGGGCTTTGCCTCTGAGATGACTTTTTGCCCCAGTGAGGTGTTGTTCTGCCTAGATCTAAGGAAAGGTCTCACAGGGGCACCTGCTCTGTACCGAGTTCCTGTCTCTCCTAGTCTTGTTCTCGCGCCATGGTTTGCATGGAATCACATACGTGAGCCAAAGTGTTAGCTGCCTTTGTATCTGAATAGTTAACAGTCCTAGCATTTCGGGCCCTTGTCTGGGGGTTTCCTGGAGACCACTTGGAGCTGTGGTTGGCGGTCAGAAGCTGCAGGGCATGTGTACCTCTTCCGATTGGCATGTGACTCCTAGATCTTCAGAGACCCGGGTCAGGGCTGGGACCCCGTGGGAGACCCTCATTTTGTGGACCTTCTCCCCTCACCTCTCTGTGGCCCAGCATCCCTGTCCCACCTGGGGAAGGCCAGCCCCCGCCCTGGTCTGGAGGAGCCGCCCCATGGCGTTCAGGAGAAAAGCACTGTTTGGACAGAAGCGGTCATCTCGCAGTCTGGGTCAAGTGCTGTCTGGGGCTCCGGCCAACTGTTCTTTGACCCGTCCTGGAGTACAGGCCAGTTTGTGCACGAGCAGACATGTGGAACAGAGACGGGGAAATTTAGTGGAAGTCAGGCCCACGACTTTCCAGGCAATTCCTGAAAGCCAGAGTCAGGCTGGAATTTCTAAAGGCTGTGGTACCTTGCTGGACAGCCACCCCTTCCCCCTGGAAATTCAGTCGTAAACTCAGTGGATTTGGGCCCCATGGTTCCCTCAGGAGCCCAACTCCCCTCCCCCACCCATAACGATTTGCAGGGTGCTGGCTAGACCCCTGAGTGACACACTGAGTTTGTGTGGAGTATCACATTCTTGTCGAGAATGGCAGGTCCCCTCCCCCACCGGGGCCCACTGTTCCTTCCCCTAAGTGGGCACCCCATCTGGTTTCACTGAAGCAGCTTGGCAGCAGAGGGCTTGGGGCAGACTGGGCTGGCAGCAGCGGCAGGCTGTTTAATCTGCTTTGATTTCTGGTCTTTGGAGAGGGGCTTGGCTACAAGGCCCAATTGTTTATGTCTTAGGAGCCAAGGCAGACAAAAGGCATTGGGCAGAGAGTTCTGGAACCAGATAAGAAGCCAGGGCTCCTTGTCAGCTCACTACAGCTTCATTCTTTACAACCCTGAGAGCTTTCTTAAGAAGGTTATGGCCATTTAAAAATAGTGTTTTAAAGGCCAGGCGTGGTGGCTCACGCCTGTAATCCCAGCACTTTGGGAAGCCAAGGCAGGTGGATTACCTGAGGCCAGGAGTTTGAGACCAGCTTCGCCAACATGGTGAAACCCCCGTCTCTACTAAAAATACAGGAATTAGCAGGGCATGGTGGTGCATGTCTGTAATTCCAGCTACTTGGGAGGCTGAGGCAGGAGAATGGCCTCAACCCAGGAGGCAGAGGTTGCAATGAGCCGAGATCTTACCATTGCACTCCAGCCTGGGCAAAAAGAGTGAAACTCCATCTCAAAAAGAAAAGTATTTTAAGAGTCCTAAGACATGGCTTTGCTTGGAAACCAAATGCAGGAGGTGGGACAAAGGGAACCATCAGTCTCCAAGCTCTGTGGTGTGGGTTTGTCTTAGAATTTGCCTGGCCAGGTGTGGTGGCTCATGCCTGTAATCCCAGCAGTTGGGGAGGCCAAGGCGGGCAGATGATCTGAGGTCAAGAGTTCAAGACCAGCCTGGCCAACATGGTGAAACCCTTGTTTCTACTAAAAAAATACAAAAATTAGCCGGGTACTGTGGAGTGTGCCTATAGTCCCAGATACTTGGGAGTCTGAGGCAGGAGAATCGCTTGAACTCAGGAGGTGGAGGTTTCAGTGAGCTTAGATTGCGCCACTGCACTCCAGCCTGGGCAACAGAGCAAGACTCCATCTTAAAAAAAAAAGAAAAGAGGCCGGGCGCGGTGGCTCAAGCCTGTAATCCCAGCACTTTGGGAGGCCGAGGCGGGTGGATCATGAGGTCAAGAGATCGAGACCATCCTGGTCAACATGGTGAAACCCCGTCT